AAAAAAACATGTTTAGTCAATGTTTTAGTCAAATATCAGAACCTGCTGAGAAGCCGAAACGTTTTAAACAAATACATGAAATGAACATGTTTAGTCAATGTTTTAGTCAAATATCAGAACCTGCTGAGAAGCCAAAACGTTTAAAACAGAAAAAAATTTTTATAGAAGCTTAGTCAGCTGCTCCATCAATGCATGCTTGATGTTTATAGTGTGGATATTTTTACTAATAGCCAAACTGGATCTTGAGTCCAGCTGATGTGGCCGTATAAATGTTTCTTATTCATCTGAATAAAAACAACGCTGGGTGGAAAATCCCTGTTCATCAATGCACGTTTGATGTTTATAGTGTGGATATATGTTCTAAAAGCCAAACTGGATCTTGAATCCAGCAGATGTGGTCGTAGAAATGTTTAATCTTCATCTTAATAAAAACAGTGCTGGATGTAAAAATCCCAGTTCAGTCCCGGATCTTGTCCCTGCCCTTCCTCCCCAGAGACAACCAGACCCGGAGGATCCAGGAGAACATCACCGGCGTGGAGAAACACTTCGGGGAGATGTGCCAACTGTTCGCTGCCTACGTCCGGAAAACGGCCCGGCTCCGGGACAAGGCCGACCTTTTGGTGCGGGAGATCGGGGTGTACGCCGACACCGAGACTCCGGATCTGAAGAGGGGCATGAAGCAGTTCGCCGACCACCTGGCCAAGGTCCAGGACTACCGCCAGGCTGAGGCAAGGCTGCTTCTTTTCCTGGCCGTGTCACATCCCCAGTAGAGCAGTGTTTTTCAACCTTTTTTGAGCCAAGGTACATTTTTTCATTGAAAAACTCACGAGGCACACCACCAACCAAAAATGCCAAACAAATCTGTAGCCGCCTATAGTAACACTATAGTTATTCTTATTTTATTCTTATCTTATCTTAAGTGTCTTGAATAGGAATCAAATAAACACAAAATTGTATTTTTATCATATTTTATATTTCTTCTTTCAAATTGCACTTAACATGTCCACTTCAATATGCAAAATTATATACAAAATCTAGTCATAAGGAATTATTACATGATTACGCCACCAGTCACTAGAACAGCACAGACACTCAAAAATGGCATACTATTTGCAGAAAATTATCCCCAAATTTTTTTTAGACCAATGAGGTGAAATATGATGATTTTCTACGGCACACCTGACCATCACTCACGGCACACTAGTGTGCCGAGGCACAGTGGTTGAAAAACACTG